CATATTTTACTCTTCCAGCACCCAAAGCAGTCATAGTGGTGGCTAAATTTGAGTTCCAGAAAAAATTGCGCAAGAACTATAATTTTCTGCCCGATTTTATGGTATAGAGGTCTGCTCAAGCACTTTTAAAGTGTTTGAACAGACGTCTACACCATAATAACTGAATTTCCTTTAAAAACTAGTAGTATACAATGAGGCTAATTTGAAGGGCATAGGTGGTATGTATGCCTACCAATTTAATCATTATTGATGAGAGAGTGGGTTGGTGTAATGGTTTCCATTGTGGTTCTCGATCTTATTCATGTTTGACCATGGAGGAAAGTGACTACACCAGTTTGCTCTACAACATGTAGATATCTACTACCACCAACATCTACCGGTACATTTTTTTTATTATTGTTACTTCGCCATGCAAAATCTTAAAACAATAATACCTAATGAAATAATTTCAAGTTTCAAATGTGTAGATGGCAGAGAAGAATAGCATGACACAAGTTTTATTGTTCTAACAAGATATGTTGATCTGCTGATTAAGGAACTCTTATGTAATTTCTAGATTAATACCGGAGTGGCTGATATTGTAAAAACACTTGACATGCATCTGAAAAAATGTCAGTCATTTTGAGTAAAGACAGTTGGCATCCGTTCTTCATGTGAATATCACCATTGGACTGGTTAATGTGTTTTAATTTCGTAATAAAATCTTTTTCAATCGACATATTTACTTTAAAAGAAAAATAATGCAGTTTTCATACATGCTAACATTTTGATAGTAAAAAATGGGGGAATTTGGTCATGGGTGGGGAGAGGTGTTCCCATTACATGTGTAACCCCTCCCCTTGGAGGCTTCAGCTATTAATGTATTATAAGTACAAATCTCATGGTTCTTATGATATGTATTCCAATAATAAAAGTATGGTATTGATTTTAAATAACTTGTGTGTTTAATTGAACCACATTTTGTCTTGTGTCTACACAAGACAAAATGTGACTATAGGCTATGTCTATATGGATTAATTTCTCATTTTCTAGCCCTTTTTCAATACAAGATACAAAATCTGGATTCAATACTTGTCTAATAGTGCGTTTTCTATAATTACTGGACTGGTATTTTAGCAACTGCAACTTCATGTCCATTTATTCAACATAAGATCTGGTCCGTTTTCCGTAGTGTGTTATTACAAAAAGACTACAATTAACGTATAATGAATTTTTTTGTACACTGAAAGAGCGCGAAAAAACGTGAGAAAAATTGGCCTGTGGTCAGAATACCAAAACAGGAGTCTCCCGGCCAAAAAGGGATTGCTGGCATGTATAAGTTTTTGCTTGAAATTTGTCGGCCATTTTGTATGGCCACCATTACAGTAAGAATATCATTTGAACAGGTTGACATTGAAAACATAAGTTTTGCTATCAAAATCATGTCGATACCTGCTTTAATAGCACAATTATGGTTATTATTACTGTGAAAATGGCAGCCATTTTGAAATTCAATATGGCTGCCATGTATGATTTGTAAGAATCTCACCATTGGACAGGTTGACATTGAAAATATAGGGTTTGCTGCCAAAATCAGTTGATACCTGCTCTAATAGCACAACTATTGTTATTTTTACTGTAAAAACGGCAGCCATTTTGAAATTCAAGATGGCCGCCATTTATCAATGAGAATATCACCATCGGAGAGGTTGACATTGAAAATATAGGGGTTTGCTGCCAAAATGATGTTGATATTTGCTCTAATGGCACAATTGTTATTTTTTATGTGAAAATGACGGCCATTTTGAAATTCCAAAATGGCCGCCAAGTCAATCTTGGCTCAAACCTTTGCAGTTTTGGATTCAGCATACCCAAAATATCCAGAAAATGCAATAAAATTGCTTTGGGCATGCCTATCTCGCGAAATGACACTAGAATCCACACTAAAATATATTTAAACTTAAGTTAAAACGATATATTTTAAACTCTTAGCCGTTGTTTATTGCTGTTTTTTGAGCTATTCTTATTATTACGTTGTTTAAATTTTATTCTATATTATACTATATTATATTACATTATATTAATAGGCATTATAAATTAAACTTCTATTTTTAATTGTATCCATGTAAGTCCATTTAATATTTTTAAGACTTTTACGAGGATTGTATGTTGTTGTTGTTGTTGTTGTTATTATTATTATTATTATTATTATTATTATTATTATTATTATTATTATTATTATTGTTATTATTATTATTATTATTATTATTATTATTATTATTATTATTA